GTGTAATTCAGCATTTCACCTATCACAATAAAACCTTACCAAAACACATATAATGACAAAATATAACATCGAATTATAAAAAAATAGCGTCTGTAACTTAATATCAGTTCATATTAAACATTCAGTACCTGATTGATCCTCCTCGTACTCTAATAACTTCTGCAAGGCGATGTGGCATTCTGTCCATCAGGTTATTGATGTAATCCACCGCTGAAACTCAGCTACAATAGCTGTTTTGAGGTCGTGGTTATCAATTTTCTGGCTCAGTTCTGCTCAACAGTTTTCAATGGGATTACAATCTGGAAACTTTGCTGCCCATGGCAATCTTGTAACGTCCTCCTGGTTGAGATAATCCTGTACAACACGCACACTGTGTGTAGTAGCATTGTCATTCTGGATCATAAAGTTATTGCCCTAGCATATGGCAGAAATATCGTCTCCATGTGATGCCTGTAGGAGACGCCATTGACGTTTCCCTGGAGGGTATGAAGAACAATTTTTCCACCATGATCAATAGCTGCCCAAACATGTACTGCACCACCTCCTGTGTGTTCCCTGTAGTAAAAACAGTCTTCTCTCATCCGTTCTCCAGGCAAACAACGAACACGAATCTTACCGTCAGCTTTAACATGCCAGAAACAGGACTCATCTGAAAAGATGACATGTAGCCAGTGTCCTAACTGGTAGATGTCATGCTATCTTGCCCAAGTTACACTGTGACGGCGATGAATTCTTGTTAATATCAGTTTGCAGATATCCCTTCTTGCAAAATAACCTTGTTTGGTTAGTCTCCTATTTACTGTTCTTCTGGATATCCTGGAATGAATGTGTTCATGCCGTTCCTAGCGTAAAGTGTTGCAAGACTTCTTTCGACCTTGACGTGTTAACCCGATTAAAACAGGGTCATCTCAGGCAGTAGTTATTCGGTGTCTACCGGTAAACTTTCCTGGAACAATGTTTCCTGTTGTCCGATGGCGTTTCAGGATTCTTGATACAGTATACTGGCAGTACCCTAATGTTCTGGCAATGTCCGTTTGCTTTATTCCATTTCTGAACAGTCGAACAATTATAGGGTTTATAACTTCTGGCACGTGACATGGCATGACTCTACACCAACTACAGAGAAACTTTGTGAACAAAGCGTTGATTTGTTTCAAAGATAGTTGATATCAAAATCCCACCGTTTCAAACAACACAGGTGTGTATGTGTGTTTTGACGAACAAGTGATGAGAACAACTTATACGGACCAGAATAATAACTCTGACATGTTTATCTGATCACAAGTTACTTTCTCTGTTACTACTCGGACATTTACTCAATAACTACTCCATGGACGTAGACAATAACATCAATATAGAACAGAATGTAAACATTTTGGCCAAGACTGTAAATGATATACCTAAATTCGAAGAGTTTTGTCTCCCAATATCATGGATCATAAGGCTGACTACGATACAACAGACCCCAAAAAATGCTTTTTAATATCAACTTACATAAACAATAAACGTTATGGTGTGAGCTACATTAAGTTGATGATGTGTAATTGTTTATTAGTTTTTACTTGGGTCATTTCCTATTTAGAATTAGGCTAAAAATTAATATCACATTATTATTTATTTATTTAAACCCTATTTATTCATTCTTATTATTTATTTTACTATTTACTCATTATTCAGCAAATGACGAACCAGTTACACGGATACGTATGGAAATGTGTACTTGGATAGGTAATAAATAATATGATATTTGTAACTAATGATATACATTATAAGTTTCATAAACAGATTGCATTCTAGTAACCTAACTTATTTTAAAGAAATTAAAAAGTAGCGATCCTGGATGTCTTTTACTTTGAACTGATTTCACAAAGGAAGTTATAATATCTTATAACGACGAAATATTCAGTTTATTCCACCAATAATGTTTTGTTAAACACTCTTCAAAAGAATTGGAGAACCAATCAGGTACCTGGGTTCTGGTCTTCATCAACTCCATCTTTTCCCCCTTCTTCCATACTAGTATTCAGAGAGGCCATAATTTCATCCCATTCAGAGTCCATCTTTTCTGGGTCGAAATCACCCGCTAGGAACCGTGACATGCGCGTGATTACGCTTATTGTCTGTCTGAGCCACTGAATCCCTAAAAAACAAAAACCGAGAAATATTCCAAAAACTCTTGCTACGAGGTTTTAAATTTGAACTGTTTTTGGTTAATTTATGTTTTTACTGTTACCTGTCCCACTATCGAATAACATGTTTTGAAATACCACTACAAGATTATTATATATATAAATATGTGTCATAACAATTTCATTGCTTGATAAGCTGATCGTCTGCTGCACATTCAACAACTCTAGGAAATATAGGGTGTGAAAATGACGTGAGTATTGTAAGCTGTATTACTTAATAAAGATAAGTTTTATATTTTTATTCTTGTCTGATTTTTCATGGAAAGTTCAAATCAGTATTTAGGTATTGAGACATCTGTATTATTAAGGTCGTTTTGTCAATAATTCTTTCATTAAGAATCACTGCACTTCAGAAAAGTACTACCGTATTATTGAGAACACTTTTATCCATAACTCATGAACGATTTAAAACCGGAAAATTTGATTAGTTCTTAATAGACATAAGGCATCAGACAAATTAGAAACTGCTAATTAATATTGTTAAACCGCCGCTTTCTTTTTAATAAATTTACAGTCATTTTAAGTAAAGACACTGCTCGGATTTGTAGCTACAATGTCGCTCTCTCTCTCGTTTCGTTCTTTCTCGAGATTGTTCTTACAACGTTGCGCATTCATTTATTACTCACTCACGTTAAAACTAAAGAAATGATGAAGGGTGAAAGAACAAATATGAACTGTATTCGAAATGCTGTCAAGAAACAAAATAAAAATATACAGATTGAAACACGCCCAGAATCCATGTTTCGTTCAAACACACTTAGTGTCAGAATAGTGAATACTCTTACTTCAGTCAAACACACTTAGTGTAAGAATAGTGAATACTCTACTTCAGTCAAACACACTTAGTGTAAGAATAGTGAATACTCTTACTTCAGTCAAACACACTTAGTGTAAGAATAGTGAAAACTCTTACTTCAGTCAAACACACTTAGTGTAAGAATAGTGAATACTCTTACTTCAGACAAACACACTTAGTGTAAGAATAGTGAACACTCTTACTTCAGACAAACACACTTAGTGTAAGAATAGTGAATACTCTTACTTCAGACAAACACACTTAGTGTAAGAATAGTGAACACTCTACTTCAGTCAAACACACTTAGTGTAAGAATAATAAACACTTACTTCAGACAAACACATTTAGTGTAAGAATACTGAATACTCTACTTCAGACAAACACACTTAGCGTAAGAATAGTGAACACTCTTACTTCAGACAAACACACTTAGTGTAAGAATAGTGAATACTCTTACTTCAGTCAAACACACTTAGTGTAAGAATAGTGAACACTCTTACTTCAGACAAACACACTTAGTGTAAG